CCTGCTATCTACAAGTTAATTTGGCGGCCTAGCTTCATCTTGCTGGCGTATCCGGACTCGTCTGAACGGTCTCCTGCTTTATGACCCACCTTGGACTTCTGAGATCTCAATGACCTAGGCTCTGCCGACGTAACGTCCTGCAACCCTCAACTGAAATGCATTGTTGGCCCTGATTATTCCTTATTACTACGTCCCCATTCTTCGTGTACGTGCCTATTCTGCCGATGCTTCCCTTTATTATTTAGACCTAAATTCTACGGTTTTCACTCTTTGAGCTGATTTTCTAATCTCGCCTCAATGGTCTCCTTGTTTCTGACTGTTGTGACCTGAATAACCACGGATGGGCAGACTTATCGGTCTGCTCACATAACCCAATGTTTATCGTTGGCTTTTCGACCTCTTCTGAAGAGTATTTTCCTTTTCGCACTCTATTTGCATTAATTTTTCAATTAGACGTAACTCTCTTCGGACCTGGCTGTAATCTATCCTCGGTTGACCAGTCTCATTCTTCTCACTTCTCCCTGACATCCGAGACGTTATCACTTGAGGCTCTACATTTCAAACACTCTGTTCCCCTCATCTCCAGACCTTTCCTTGCATGCTAAATGGCTCATCATATAGTCACCTTCGTCCCGAGAGCTTCTTTTCTTATGACACTCACCTCTGCTATCCACAAGTTAATCTGGCGGCCTAGCTTCATCTTGCTGGCCTATCCGGACTCGTCTGAACGGTCTCCTGCTTTCTGACCCACCTCAGTCTTTCGAGACCTCAATGGCTTAGGCTCCGCCGACGTAACGTACTGTATCCTTCAACTGAATTGCATTGTTGGCCCTGAATAATCCTTATTACTACGTCCCCTTTCTTCGTGTGCGTGCCTATTTTGTCGATGCTTTCCTTTATTACTTAGACCTAAATTCTACGGTTTTCACTCTTTGAGCTGAATTTCTAATCTCGTCTCAATGGTCTCTTTGTTTCTGACTATTGTGACCTGGATGATTAGGGATGGGCTGACTTGCCAGTCTACTTTCCCGTCTCAGTGGTCTTTTTGCTTTTGACTGCCGTGACCCGATTGATCAGTGTTAGGCAGAATGGTCTCCTGTTGTCTGACCTCTCTCGGGCTTCTGCGATCTAACTGTTCTAGTCACTGCCGACGCAACACTTTGTTACCCTCACCTCAATAACGTTGCTGGTCGTGACTAATCGTTATCATCATGTCCCCTCTCCTCCCTAACGTGTCCATTCCTGCTGATTCTCTCCGACAAAATTCATAGCTTACTGTTACGCCCTTCTCCTTATGAGCCGACTTTCTAGTCTGGTCTGAATGACCCACCTTCCGACTTCTGTGACCCTAATGGCCAGGGGTCGGCAGACCCAATGGTCTGTTCATATCACGTTGGAAATATCGCTGACTTTTCCACTCATCAATGAAAACTTTTCCTTTTCTCATTTTGTTTGCATTCCATTTTCCACTGGTCAGGCAACTCTCCGGATCTGGCACTACTCTAGCAGCGTCTGACCAGCCTCCTGCTTTCTGACTACTTCCTTACATTCCAAACGTTAACGATCTTGGCTTTGTCATCCTGGTGCTCTGTCCCCCTTATCCTGAGACCGTTCCTCTGCACGCAACCGCCTTTTCATATAGCCACTTGCTCCCCAAACTGCTTTTATGATGACCCTCATTACTTTATTCCCACCTTACTTTGAAGGCCTAGCTTCAGCTTGCTGACTTACCCGAGTTTGACTGCACTTGCTCCTGTCTCCTGACATCGCTCGGACTTCTGTGAGCTAGACTTTGCCGACGAAAGTCTGTTACCCTCACCCCAAGACCACCGCTGGTCATGATTGAACCTTATTATCATGTCCCCTTTTTTCCTTAACATGTCCACTTTTGTTGATGATCTCTGTCAGCACTTAGACTTTACTAATACGACTTTCACCCTACGAGCTGACATTCTGGGCTCGTCTCAACGATCTTGTACCTTCCGACTTCCGTGACCCTAATGATCAGAAGCGGAGAGCTCCAACGGTCTGCGCAAGCAACTGGAGCATATCGTTGGCTTTCTTTTTCTCTCTTCTCACCCATAGAGCCCTTTTTCACACTCTAGTCTGACTTATCTGGTTCTGGCTGCACGGCCTCCTGCCTTCTGACCACTCTCAGACTTCTGAGTTCTAAATGCTCGAGTCGCTGCAGACGCAATGCTCTGTCTCCCCCGCTTCCAGAGCACTGCTGCTCATGATTCATCACTAGTATATCCGCTTTTATCCTTAACACTTCTATCCTGTTGACGCTCTGTTAACGTTCTGACATTTATAATACGGCTTTCTCTCCATGATCTGATATCCTCCTCTCATCTCCATGGTCTCCTGCTTTCCGAATACTGAGCCCATACTTTTGAACCATCGACAGGTCCAAAGGTCTGTTCGCAACATCTCGAGATCTTTGTAGGCTCTTCCACTTCCCCTTAAGTGTCTCCTTCACGATTACATTCTTTCATTTTCGCGCTCCGTCTGCCTTCCTTTATCCATTGGGCGGATAACACTTCGGGCCTGGCTCCACTTTAGCCTGGTCTGACCAGTCTCCTACTTTCTGACTGTTTCCAGAAATCAGAGAAGCAAGTGTTCTAGGCTGTGCAATCACAACACACCCTGTCCCTTAGCCTGAGAGCTTCGTTTGATATGCTAACGGGCTTTTTATATAGCCTCTGTAGTCCCGCAAATTTTCTTTCTCGTGACATTCACTACCGTTATCCCTACTTTAAGCTGACTGCCTAGCTTCATCTTGCTGACCTATCCAGTCTCATCTAAACGCTCTTTTGCTTTCTAACCCCTCCCCAAACACTCATGCTTCATCTTCAATCTTTCATTCTTTACTGATCCGCGTTCTGCTCGATTCTCGTCGTATTTCGCCACGTATGATATACGTGTATATGCGATATTTCAATAACAATTACATGCATAGGGGTACAATAGTTTAGGCATTGCCGCAATTGATTGATTGCATTCCTGATGCATTCCTTTCTTCTGTCTGTATGGCTGTCTCTGTTCGTTTCCTTTTTTCTTCCGAGTCCGTCACAGGTACGGCGACACGCACCCAAGGAATTATCCTCCGTTTCGACAACAATACAACGCACACAGTTCCTTTACGTGAACACGAGCGGAAAACTATCAACTTCTTTACAACATACTTACCGGACAAATCAATCAATATCTTGCACTGATACAATTCTTCCGCGGCATGAACCACTGAGTTCAATTTACCTAACAATACTTCTTCCACATATCTCTTGACTGGAGAACTTTCGACTACGGAAGGCACATTCTCCTGCCAATACAAAGCTTGAACAATCGGTCATTCTAAGCTCTTCAATCCACTTTGACCGCTCAAAAGGCCGTGGTTTCCCCTATCTCTAATCAATTTCACTACATACCCCGGGGGATCTGCGTTTCTTTCTTCGGAACCTATCCTGTCCTCCAAGACTTCAACATATTCAACGTATATTCTTCAAGACTTCACGTGGTTCTGCAGATGATCAACACATCACATCCAGAAAGAAGGCTTAGTTCCTGACCTACCGATCTGGCACAGGAGAGGACACAGGCACGCAATGGCCACTCGCATAACGAATCAGTCAGCAGAAAAATGGGATACAACTTGACTGCGAATAACGGAGCAAAAAAACGTTCAACAAGAAACATAGCCAGTTACAACTTGCCATTCAATGGATTGGCGGCAGTGTTTCAGGACGTGGTGGGTTTTCGCCTGGCAAGCGTTCTCCCTATAAAAAGCCACAAATGTCCGTTTAACTACACTGCAACGTGGCGCATGTGACTCGCCACCGAATAAAGTGACAGCCCCTAACTTCACACTGGCAGCTCAATTAGAATCTTCATACTGGATAGCTTGCGCTTCAATTATCTCCCAGTGGATCACTCAGGATTCTCAAACTATTATTAGTCGAGGTATGACTGCGATATATGGCAGAGCGATTATGTCCAAACAAATGTATCCCGATCCCACTACAACCAAATCGTTCTTTCGCATGTTCACCATCGCACAGTTCCAAGCATTGTCATATGAACAATTTTCTACTGTCACTACAGTTCCCATAAAATGTCTGTACAGCTGTACATTCCTGATCATGCCTCAATTGGCGTGCCTCGCATAGTCGAGAATAAAATATTTATTTATTTATTTATTTACATAATTGCATTTACCAGGAATGTAACCCCTGGAACGGGTTAAACAATCCTCGAGGAACTCACTAAGCGGCTCAACGCGAATGCCGAGTTACTCGACATCCAACTCATGGCTCCCTTGCTAACCCAGGGAACGATCAGTTGGCCTCGGCGGCGGACGGCCACGCACGTGTTGGGTTGTAACGTTGACTAAGAGTGTTTGAGTTAACCAGACGGATGAAACTTTGTGCGATACCAGATATTCGCCTCGAAGAATGCTCAGCATTTCCGCGGTGGCAACCATAATTCACCCCATGGCGACAACACAACTAGATTCCTTTTAGATAGCGGGACTGTACCTTGCAACAATAAGCGTATAGCTTTCCTGTATATTCGACTTCTTCCAGCTTTTTCTTATTGAGGGCCGAACCTGGGTTGATTGCAATTGATCGAGAGTGTTGTTGGGTGCTGGTCTGTTGAAGGCCTGTTACCTCACTTAGGCTTGACCAGAATTAAACTGACCTAATTCGTTATTAACAGCTTTGGCTTCCGTGTTACTAGAGTACGTTCTGGAGGGGGCGAAATCTGAGCACCGGCTGACCACGATTCACCACGCCCAGGTAAACCAGACCAGAACAAACACTACACGGAGCACGGGCTGCGTGGACCCTCGTGCAGTCTTTCTGAATGTGCACAAAACATTTATATATAATCAGGTACTTTTATTTTGATAAATTTATTTGCAGGTATTTATCCGAAGAGTTTAATCGCGCTTATTATCTTCATACTTTTGTTTTATTTGTTGTAATTTGTACCGGTAGGTCGTTGCGTTTTTGAGTTATTTCACCCCTTTTCGTGCGAAGGGCTAATTTCTGTATTGGCTGGAAAGGGTTTCGCTACCATTGTCCTCGGTAACATCCAAGTTAGTTTGAGTGGCTGCAGAGTCTATGCTTAATTTTGGTGGTACTAAGGTTTGGGAAATAGAAGCTAATGCTATATGCAGTTGCTTCGTGAAAACTGTTATAATAAATTAAAGTGATTACTACAGGTGTAGTTGAAGTTGTAGCAGTCTGGAGATTCCCCGGTTTGCCTTGTAAAATTCCAACTAAAATATTTCATTGTACACTTAGGCAACCGGTGTGGTTTGTGGAACTGATTGCTGAGTTCGAATGCTTGGTTTGCTCATCGCCATTGTTGCTTGGCGCTCGTTTCGTTTGCAACTCGCGGCTGACCTTTGTGATGTGCACGCTCCGTTCCTCTAGCTAGAGCGTCCACGGTGTCATTCATTTTTTAGCTAGATAACGGGGAATCTTTTACTGTACCCATAAACGTTTTCCTGCAACTCAACCTCTCTTCTCGAATCGCGCTTTGGCTCCCGGTACAGGCGACTGTCTAAATTGGTGACCCTGCATCCGGAATAACCTCAACGCCGCATATTTCGAACCTTTCCCCGGTGAGCTCATTCCATTTATTTTTCATATTTTGAAGTTTATTTTTACATACGGTGGTCTATTTTTTGCGTCATATTTTTTAAGCCATGGAATCTGTAGACCTTAAGGTGGAGTCGCTGCTAAGCATAGTATCTCTCACAGTTCCACCTTTTTGGGACATGGATCCTCTTTTGTGGTTCGCGCATCTTGAGGCTGAGTTTTATAACCACAGAATCACTTCCGACTACGCGAAGTATCACAAGCTCCTGTCCTATCTCCCCAAGGAGGTATCAATGCAGGTTCGTGAAGTTATAATTTCTCAGACCAAAAACCGCTATGAGGCTCTCAAGGAGGCCACGATCAAGCGTGTTGTGCATTCTGAGATAGCTCGCCTGCAGCAGCTTTTCAGGGATCTGCAACTTGGCGACAAACTGCCCCCACACCTGCTACGAGAGATGCAGCAAATCCTTGGTTCCTCAACCATGGACGAGATGTTACTTCGCAAAATATAGCTACAGCGTCTACCGGAAAACACGCAAGCGATTCCCGATAAAGTGAGCTCAGTTTCGCTCACGCAACTAGCAGATTTAGCGGATCGAGTTATTGAGCCATCCCAGCCACAAGCCGACGCCATCAAGATCAATGCCGTCGCTTCCCAGGGCACTATCATCACTGGCTTACCGTCTACTATAGAAGACCTACAAACACAAGTTGTGACACTTAGTCGCCAGGTTCAACAGCGTACTATGAACTGTCGTCATCTTAGCCGCTCAACATCGCCCTTCGAACGTTTTAAGTCTAGCAGCAGGCAGGCATGCTGTTGGTACCATCAGCGCTTTGGTACCGCAGCTCGTAAATGGGTAACACCTTGCAACTAAGCCGAGAAGCAGCGAAACTTTTCGGCCAGTCCGTAACGGCGACGGACGCGACTTGCCAACGCCAAAGTTGCCTCATGCGCGTTAGGGATTTAACTTACGACACCGAGTTTCTAGTCGACACTGGTGCCGAAGTTAGTGTTATACCCCGTAGCCGAGTTGAGGTCATCACACCAGCGCCGACCAAGCTGAGTGCCGCCAATGGCACACCAATCGCAACTTTAGGCGAAACGCTGCTAACGCTCAATTTAGACCTCCGGCGAACCTTTCGCTGGCGTTTCATAATCGCTGCCGTGCCTTTCGCCATCCTAGGCATAGACTTTCCGCAATACTTAAACCTCATCGTCGACGCTAAGAGAAAGAAGCTTATGGACCCTAGAACACAGCTCCGCGTTATCGGGACTAGCACCAACGTGGCTGCTATCACTCCCATTCGTGTTCTACCTCAAGCTGCACAGCCCTTTCTAGAAATTTTGGCAAGCATCCTAAACCCGTTCGCGTCCTGAGCGACCTGCCTCCTGTGACGTCAAACGTCATGCATTACATTTGCACTACGGGCTCACCTGTTTCGGCCCGCTTTCATCGAATAGCCCCGCGCAAGCTCAACGCTGCTAAGACGGAATTCGAACAAATGCTTCAACGGCGAATCATACGCCCGTCCAAATGTCCATGGGCATCAACATTACACATGGTACCGAAAAAATCCGGTGACTGGCGCCCCTGTGGGGACTACAGGGCACTTAACAAATTTACCGTGCCGGTTAAATACGCCATTTCGCACATGCACGATTTGACCTCAGCTCTAGCTGGTAAGTCTATATTTAGCGAAGTCGACCTAGTTCGCGCCCACCACCAGATAACTGTCGCGCCAGACGACATTGCTAAAACAGCAGTCATCACGCCATTCGGCCTATTCGAGTACCTCAGAATGCCTTTCGGCCTCAGCAACGCTGCCCAAACTTTTCAGCGTTCCATTCATGAGGCAACGCGAGGAATCCAAGGTGTTTATCTTTGTCTAGATGACATACTCATCGCCTGCTCTTCTGATGAAGAACATCTTCATCACCTCGACGCTCTCTTCCAACGCTTAACACAGCGTGGGATTACCGTCAACCCGGATAAATGCGAGCTTGGCCAGAGCTGGATCGACTTCCTTGGCCACCGCATATCCGCCTCTAGTATCAAAGCTCTGCCAGACAATATCCAGGCACTGCAGGACTTTCCTGCGCTTAGTTCCATCAAACAGTTACGCCTATTCCTTGCCCTGCTTAACTATTATCGACGCTTTATTCCTAACTGCGCGAGCATTGTTCAACTAATGACTGACTTGCTCCGCGGTAAACAACGGTATTTTCATTTTGCAGACGACGTTCGACTGTCTTTCGAGAAGCTCAAAGACGCTGGCACCAACATAGCGCTTCTCGCCCATCCGGACACCTCTGCACCACTCTGCCTGACAAATGGCGCATCCGACACTGCCGTCGGTGCAGTTGTTCAACAACCCATCGACCGTCGATGGACACTTCTAAATTCTTCTCGAAACGTTTGCAACCTGCCGAATCGCATTACAGCACCTTCGGTAGGGAACTGTTGGCTATTTACCTAGGTATCAGACATTTCCGTCACTATCTCGTAGGTCGACATTTCGCAGTCTTCACTGACCACAAGACATTGATCTACGCAATAAATGGCGCAACGGACAAGTTCTCTCTGCGGGAAACTAAACACCCAGACTACGTTTCTCAGTTTACGAGACGTACGACATGTCTCAGGTGCTCTCAATCCCGTCGCAAATGCGCTTTCACGCATTCAGCAGATCAGCTTATCGCCTGGCACCGACATTGATCTAGCCGCTATGGCTGCTGCCCAACAAGCTGATCCTGATATAGACAAGCTACGACGCAACACCTCGTTGAAACTACGCGAAGTTCCACTACCTTCATCTGAGGGGACCAGTCTTTGTGACGTTGCGCAACCTTCTCCCCGACCCGTAGTTCCTACTTCGATGCATCGACTAGTTTTCAACGCTTTACACAACCTGTCTCATCCCGGCATACGTGCCTCGCAGAAGCTCGTAACTGAAGGCTTCGTATGGCCCAACGTCAATCGCGATGTCCGCCTTTGGGCACGCGCATGCTTAGAGTGTCAGCGCGCCAAGGTATACAGACACACCAAAAGCCCACTTGGCGTCTTTCCCGCTCCCGACTCTCGTGTTGCACACGTCCGTGTCGACCTTGTCGGACCTCTGACTCCAAGCAAAGGCTACGTGTACCACCTCACTTGTGTCGACCGATTCACGCGTTGGCCAGAGGCGATTCCGATAGTCAACTGCCCGTTTGAGACAGTTGCGCAAGCTTTCCTAGAACGCTGGGTAGCTCAATTCGGTTGCCCAAGCGTAGTCATCACTGACAGAGGATCGCACTTTGACGGATCCTTCAGCAATCTGCTCAACGTTCTTGGTTGCCAACATAACCGAACCACCGCATACCATCCCGCAGCTAGTGGGATGGTAGAAATTTTCCACCGACAACACAAAGCATCACTCTGTGCCCAAGATAGCACGTCCTGGCACGAAGCACTTCCGCTCGTTCTCTTAGGCATAAGAAACACGATTAAAGCAGATTTGCACGTCACTCCAACCTCGTTGGTCTTTCGATATACACAACGCTTACCTGGTGAACTCGTCTCACCAGAAGCGCCAACAACCTTCGATTATGGCGACTACGCAGCTCGCCTATCTCACCACATACAACAGCTTCAGCCTGTGCAATCTAGGGCACAGAGCTTGCGTACCAACGTGGACGAACGCTTAACTACTTGCACACACGTGTTCACTCGCACTGACAGCGTAAGCCGGCCACTTCAACTCCTTATTCGGGTCCGTACCGTGACGTATGCAGAAACGACAAGACTTTTACCGTTGACTACAATGGTAAGACTGAGACGATCAAGGTCGATCTACTCAAGCCAGCATTCCTCGACAAGTCTGACTCTTCGGTGCAACAAGTACCTTCACAGCCTGTGCCATCACAGCTCACACCGCAACCTCAGACGAATCAGTCCGCTCCAGCAGAACCGAAAACATCAACCGACAGCACTCCTACTCGCACTGCTATCGATCGACGCGGTAGGAGACTCAAACCCCCAGTTCGTTTTTCGGACTTGGTTAACACATACTATTTTACATAGAACATGCCTCCGAGATTTTTGGCTCTTACCAAACGTTTTTTGAAAATCCACGAGAAACGGACCAAAACGTTTTGAAATTACCTAAAAAGAGCAAAACCATTTGAAAACCCAAAAACAGCTTTGCATCATTTTCGCCTTGCACTATTTCGTGTATTGCTATGCATTTATGCGGCTTTTTCATTTTGTTTTCTATATACGCCGCCGGTAGGTTGCACCTCGGATGCAGTTTTCGGTGGATTTCCGCACGTCACATCCAAGTGGAACGAACTTTCTGTTCAACCGCCTACGTGAACTATACTAACTGTCCTCCCACTAACAGCTTTAACCGTTTCGACACCGTTGGGAGGACACAGGTGGGAGCCCGATAGGGTCCGATTGCATGGTTCCCCTAGCAGCGGCATCAGGTTTCACAACCTGGTCTCGCTGAG